AGCAGGATCTCCCAAGCTGAAGAATTCGACTCTTCCAGCTCTACGGATGTCCAGAATAGCCGGTTCCCTGATCAATATAGGTTAGCGATTACCTATGGTGAAAGCTTGGCACGGCCTGGAAAGGCTGCTCTCGGGGAAAAAATCTATTGCTTGTACAGTATGTAAAAAGAGAAAATGCCCACACATTGGATCACATTACGGTATCATATGTCATCACCAGGGTCAGGCTTCACAGGACGCCATGGTTTTCGGACCGAAATGACACGTCAACGATTCGCCTGGAGATTGCCTCATGCTCTACATCTACAACGCCAAGACAGTCTCTACCAACGCTCTACCTTCTTGAAGCTGCGGGTCTCATCAACTATCACATAGTCCCCTTGCAGGAAACAAAATCAGGAAGACGACGAGACGAAGCTGACTAATGGCACGCTCATCAATCGTGGTGAGAAAATTCCATCACGGAACGTTGGAGGCGTTGGATTTCTTGTACACCCATCTGTTGTCCATCTTGTCGATTCACATGATCCTTTACCTCGCACTCCGCCCTCTGCATCGAGAAAGCATCACTATCATCAACTGTTATTCTCCAACATCAGCAGCTAATGACTCGAAACTTGTTGCATTCTGTGAGGATTTGGAAGAAGTCATCTGCAAAGAGATGTCCTTCTACAAATTTATCGTGGGTGATAAATGAGATAATCGGGATGTCCGAAGATGGGGAGCATATGATCGGGAGTTGGATCAGGAATCCGGAATGAGAATGCTAACCGTCTTGTTGGGCTCTTATCTGCCACTTCACGGTAACTCTATCTTCATGAAGAAAGAACATCGGCGGTGGACGTGGGAGTCAGCCAACCGTACGACTCATGCGGAGATCGACCACATTCTTACCAACCAAAGGTGATGCTCATTCTCAGTGGTACCATCCTTCAGCAGTGTATCACATAACCGCTGCTTAGCAAAAGTGCGATTCAGCCGAAAGCTGCAAAAGAAGATCTGTCACCGTGTTGGTGGAAGGAGAGAAATCGTCTGTGACGGCATCAAATTGGAAGAGCTTCGGACCATTGGCGACTGGCCTATCGACGAGGAGCCAACGAAGAACTACGACCTGCTTCTCAGAGACTGAGAGCCTGTGTGCCTCAATGTCTGGAATAAGAAACTTGGAACGGATTTCGAAAATCACAAGGATCTTCTTGAGAAAAGGAGAGCACTGAGGCTGGATCCAACTGCATCACATCTCGAGCGACTGTGTCAATAACAGTTGCAGAACATTTTTGCAAAAAGATCTTTGAAAATGCAGGCAATAGCAACTACGCACAGAAGGAGAAGTCTAAAGAAGTGCAGCAGGGAACTCCTTGACTACCGCGTTCCGCTGACAGCATGACGGGTCTCACACATCTTTTCGACAGGATGGAATTGATCACAAAGAGATTCTATATCAGTCTCTTCGCTCTTCAACATTTGTGTCAAACCCCGTTATCCACTGGAGAAATACCACCACGGATTCTACCTGCTGAGGTACGTGCACCAATCCAGACCATGAAGGCAGCCACGGCTTCGCGGCTGGATCATGTATCGGCCAACTTCTTACGAGCTGGAGGACATCGCTTACACGGGATGCTTGCAGCATACCTAAAGTTTCAAGGAAAGGATCCCCGACCAGTGCAGAACCTCCGAACAATCCTAAGAAGGGCGATAGGAAGGATCTTCAGAAATGCCGCTCAAGATGTCTGCTGAATGTGCTTTACAAGCTCTTCACAAAGAATATTCTCGCTCGCATATCAAGGACACTGAATGAGCCCCAACCTGTAGATCAATCTGGATTTCGCAAGGGATCTGCGTGGATCACATCCAGATAGTGTCGATAAGTTTCGAGGTTTGTCGAGAGTACCTGTCGTCCTAACCTTCGTCGACTATGAGAAAGCATTTGACCGCGGCATTTGACTAAT